TTAGATGATATTTAAGTGGAATGAATAAGAAATGTTGTTGTATGACATTTTCATACCACTATTACGTATTTTTCATATATTATATTAAATAGATAAATGGTGTTGTATGACTTTTATTAACGTTGATTAGTAATAACGTTAACATATGTGTTGTAAAAAAAAAACATATGTGTTTTGTCTTATTTACTTTGGTTCAATATTTATATTTGAGGGGAGCTGTAACTTAACTATTATGTGTCTTAGTTAAGTTAAGAATAATGAACGATTAAAATAAAAACTAATAGAATAGTAATTCATTTAATTTAGGTAAGGATCCCACAAATTGTATTGCTATAATATAGGGTGAATATATGGCATGAGTTTATAATATATAAAGAGGAGAGAAAAAAAAGGAAATAATCCAAACAACTTTTATAGGTAGATTTATTTAAACTCCTTCTCTTTTAATAGTATAGATTGTTTCATTGAGAATGTGTTTGAAATTAAATAATATTTACATTTTTTGAACCAAATATAAAAATATCAAGAATGAAATCGATTTTTGAAAGCAAATTGAAGACTGCATCGATTATGTTCAATAGTTTCATTTTGAAATATATTTATGTAGATTTAGATTAAGTGACGATAATCAAATGTATGAATCAATTTATTAATTTTACTATGGATACAAAAATGAAAGAAAATAGCTAGACTTTTATTTTTAATACATAGTGTTTTGTCATTTGAAGAGGTTCTAGATTAGTCATAGATGTAATTAGGTGTGTGAGAATTTCTGACTAAAATATTTTCACATGTGGAGAAGAAAATATTTCGGCATGTATTTCACGACAACTATTTTTAGTTATTTCTTAAACAACGATTTTTTTTTTTTTTGTCAAACTACTTGCATTCGAAATTAAACCGTTCATACAACATTAAGAAATCTAGCAAGGCTCGCTTTAGCAAGAGCATCAACCTGAGAGTTTTCAACACGAGCGATAAAAGTAAAAGATAACGGATAGAAGAGAGTGGCAAGGTTTTGAATGTCGTGGAGAACACCTGCAATCTCATTCAAATCCATCCCTGAACGCAGGGACGAGATAAGGACCTGAGAGTCCGAAAACACTTGGAGGCTGTGAAGATTTAACTCCTTAGCCTTTCGTAGAGCTTCCCGCAAAGCTAGAGCTTCCGCCATCAAAGCCGAGCTAACATGGGAACGACAAGAGGAGCCTCTACAAAGCACCTCTCCTGCTGCATTTTTAATGATCCAACCCATGCCACCTGCAAGGTGACCTTCCTGCCAAGCACCATCAGACCAGCACGTAGGGACCTCGGGGAGTCTTACACTTGCTGATGATTTCTTGACCAGGGGATGCTTCCTCAAATCGTTAGCTTTTTCCCAGTCTTTTGCCTCCACAATCGCCTTAGCTAAGATGTCTTCAACTTGAAAAGCTTTTTCCTCAAATAACATTTTATTTCTTGCAGTCCAAAGGTTCCACAAAATCCAAGGTACAAGGGGAGAAGAGATAAGACCCGTCGGGGGGAGAGAGCCCTTCTTAACATGAGTTGACAACCAATCTTGCAGCGATTCGAGAGTAGATTCTCTGTCAACTGGTGTTACTAAGGGAGCCTTGGACCAGACTTCCGCTGCGAAGGGACAATCAAGAAAGAGATGGGCTATAGATTCCAAATCTCCACATCTTTTACAGTTAAGGTCAGTCTGAATCCCTCTGATCGCCAGGAGGGTTCCCACCGGCAACGCATTGCTAAGAGCCCTCCACAAGAAATGTTGGATTTTTGGAGAAATGTGGAGTTTCCAGATATTTTTCATCCAATTAAAAGGATGATGAAGCGCAACAGCTTTTTCTTCAAAGATTCTCTTGTAACCTGACTTGGTAGAGTAAACACCTGAGGGATTTGGGAGCCAAGCTTTTTTATCTTCCGGTCTTAGCGAGCTAGGAACGATTAGTCGGATTACATCCTCATAGTGAGGTAAATGCTGGTGAATTTTTTCCAAGTCCCACTCATTCGTTTGATGGTTCAGAAGGTCCGACACTTTCAAGTGTTGGTTGGAAAAGGTTGGCGGACCTATTGGCGAGACTGGAGCCACCGATGAGAGCCACTGGTCTGACCAGACGTTGATGCTCTCGCCATTACCAATAATGAAGCCCAAACCTTTCCTAAGAACTTCCAAACCTGCCAGTATACTAGTCCATCCATGCGAGGACCCGGATTTCTCCACACTCTCCATAAAGGAGCAATCAGGAAAGTACTTGCCTTTAATAACTTGGGCAAGAAGAGAGTTTGGGCTATTCAGAATTCTCCAGCTGAGTTTCCCTAGAAGAGAATCATTATAATCTTCAATATTCTTAAACCCAAGACCCCCCAAGTATTTAGGTTTAGCCATTCCACTCCAAGAGACCCAAGCAATTTTTCTTTTATCTGGGGCACTGTCCCACCAGAATCGAGTGAGAATAGATTGTATTCTTTTACAAAGAGAAACTGGGATCTTGAAACTCGACATAGAGTAAGTCGGAAGAGAGGTCAATACTGATTGGAGCATAACATGCTTCCCTGCCCCCGACAGGAAACGGGTCGTCCAAGACTGAGATCGTTGTCGAATCTTGTCCACCATGCCTGTAAACACATCACACTTGCTTCTGCCAAAAGTTTCTGGCAGCCCCAGATACTTACCCATACCTCCTTCTTGGGTAATTCCCAGCGATGTCTTCACTCTTTCTCTGATATTCTCCGGAGTTTTAGAAGAGAAAGTGATGGTGGATTTTTCCTGATTAATGCTCTGACCAGAGCTTAGCTCGTACCTTCGGAGGATGGTACTAAGCGCTCGGCAGTTCCTTGCGTTCGTTTTACAAAACAGCATTGTATCGTCTGCGAAGAGAAGATGGTTCACATACGGACTTCTTTGAGAGACTTGAAGCCCAAGGAGACTGCCATTACTCTGAGCATTCTTACATAAACCTGATAGCACTTCTGTACACAGAATAAAGAGATATGGGGAGAACGGGTCGCCTTGCCTAAGCCCTCTTGAAGGGGAGACTTTACCATAAGGAGCCCCGTTGATAAGGAAAGTGTAGGTTACAGTGGTAACACAAGCCATAACCCACTTGACCCAAGTACTACAAAATCCGAGTTTCTTCAAAACCTCTTCAAGGAAGCGCCATTCAATTCTGTCGTACGCCTTGCTCATGTCAGTTTTAATGACCATGGAGCATCTCTTCTTAGCTTCAGAAATCTTCAGGAAATGAAGAGTTTCATGTGTAATCAACACATTATCCGATATAGATCTTCCAGGGACGAAGGCTGATTGATGTTGCGAGATCAAGTCAGGAAGGAATTGTTGCAGCCGGCCTGTGAGAATTTTGGCAATGATTTTATATCGGACGTTACAGAGAGCTATCGGACGATACTCTGCTGCAGTCTTAGGTGCTGAAGTCTTGGGAATCAAGCAAACATGGGTTTCATTGGTCTTTGGGTTCATCTCTCCTGAAGAAAAGAAAGTCCGAATTTCTCGGTAAATATCAGGGCCCAAAATACTCCAAAATGATTGGTAAAAGCTTGCGGAGAATCCATCTGCCCCAGGTGCTTTGTCTGCATGCACTGCGAAGAGAGCAGACCTAACTTCTTCCATCTCCGGAATTAGACAGAGTCTAACATTCATTTCGGGTGAGATTCTTGATGTGATTGTCTCTTCCACTGTATGGAAGTTAGAACCTCCATTAGAAGAGAACAGTTTCTGATAGAAATCCGAGAAGACCTTTCCTATCTCTTCCTCTTCGTGAACCGGGATCCCCTCCGCGTTCTCTAAGGCAGTAATCCTGTTCCTCGCCTTACGACCTCTTGTCACTGCATGGAAGAAGGCACTGTTATGATCCCCTTCCTGAAGCCATAAAATCCTACTCCTTTGGCGCCAGAAGAGCTCTTCCGCTTTGTAGGCGTTACTGAGATCCTCTACAAGAGAAGAGATCTTGTTAACATCTGGTACTGCTGCTGATAACTCCTCCTCTAGCTCCTGTTGTTTTTGTAGTACATCTCTAGCTTTGATCTCTTTTTGTATCTTAGACCATTGAATTATCTCATGTCTGCATCTTGCAATCTTCACTTCCACATTTTCCACTACACCTTGTCTCCAAGCCTCCTCAATAATACTTCTGGCTTCGTCTATCTCATTCAATCTTCGATCATACCTAAATGGAGTTCTCTTCTTGACTTTATGAGACTCGAGATAAGATATGAGAGGGCGGTGATCAGAACCCTCAAACCTGAGGTAATTACTGCTAGCAGACGGAAATAGTTCAAACCACTCAACATTAGCCAATGTCCTATCTAGCCTCGATTTGATGTTGTGGGTGTGCCTACGACCTCTCCAAGATAATTGGTTTCCTGTGTGCTTCAAATCCCAGAGACCATTAGTGGAGACAAAATTACGAAATGGTATAAAAGAACCTTCACTCCTCAAAGGACCTCCCGATTTTTCAGAATTGTCTAGGATCTCATTAAAGTCTCCCGTTAAGGCCCAAGCCTCGCTTCTT